CGAACGCGCCACGCGTGTCTCACTCGCGTGCCCTGCGGTTGCATGGTGAGAAAGTGCAACGCCTGATCTGCGCCATGGCCCGCATAAGGAGCCCCCTGCCATGCACTGCGAGGCCTACGCGCACGTCTGCGATGGGGGGGGTGCCTCATGTGGGTGCCCAGTAAGTCGTGCATGCGCGTTGAATATAAGATGCAGTGAACGCGCCACGCGTGTCTCACTCGTGTCTCACGCACGCGCCGTGGATGCGTCGCGCGCAGGTGAATGGAGGAACCAAGCGGAGGAGGGGAGGAGGGAGGAGGGGGGGTGTGCGCGAGGAGACGCGGGCGCGACGCGGCAGGGAAGAAAACCAGAACCCACGAAACATGCGGGGAAAAAAAGGATCCACAGTCGTCAAGGGTCTCGGGCTTCATCCTTTCGAAATCAAATGCGAACGAGACCCAAGCCGCGGCAGCCTCCCATCTCTGGGAACAAGATGCAACATGTCTGATGCGCCTCTGCCCCTGTGTCGGATGATCGGATCGATGGAAACCTTCTCGGTTACCCCGCGTCGTTCCAGTACGCAAAAGGATCTAGGGCCCACCCACCCCGCGCGGAGTCGCCCCTGCCCCCGTCGGGGGGCCGCCAGGCCGCTCCGGCAGCGGCCACGACGCGCCCCCCAATCTTCCCCATCCTCAACAACGAAGGATACTCTGGCTCGTCGTCGGAGGCGTCGTCAGATAAGCCATCGCCACCCCCGCCTGCACCATCACCGCCGCCAGGAGGACCTTACCCATAGGGTCGCTTACTCGGTCCGTTGGAGGGCGGCAGGTCGTTCTCGATCATCCTCGCCCGGACATGCACCGCCGCCTCCTTTTCCATCGCATCCGCGCATCCTGGGACCAGGTGAAAAGTATCATGGGCGGGCGGTTGCACGGGCCAGCGCTCGCGCACCCAGCCCACCTGTTACCCCCTCCCATTGCAATGCCTCCTGCTGAGCCGAGGCCCCTCAGCGGCCACGGCTTCCACGAGCCTTCCGGGCCGCCGGGCGAGCCCCCTCGCTTCGCCCCCCTTCTTCTGGGCCCTTTGCTCGGCGAAGCTCTCCATCCCTTGCGCCGGCCCGGCGAACGTCTCCGGGAATCGCCCGCCCCCAGCTTCTCCCCCGCCCTCGACTGCTTCCAATCTCCCGCTCGTCTCGCCGCGAGGCGGTCGCGCAACCGACGCCTCCGCGGCGCCCCCGACGCAGCTGAGCGACGCCGCTGTCAACGGCGGGCAGTCACGCGGCCCCGCCCCGGGGGCAGCCTGGGCTGCGATGCGTTCTTCAAACTGTCGCCTGGTTTCCTTTTCCTGCGCTTCCTCGCTGCGACGGCCCCCCCGGCTTCCTCGTCGTTCTCGGCGCCGCCCCGATAGCACGGCAGGCGCCGCTATGGCGGGGCATCAACATGCCGATCACAGAAAGCCTCGCTGCAGCGTGGGAAGTCGCCCCCGTCGCGAAGCCGGCACAGGTGGCGCCGCTGGCCACAGTTCGCCGCCACGGGAGTCCTTCCCTGGCCCAGTCTTCGCTCCGCCACTGCAGGGGAAGCTGCCGGGCGCGCCGCGAAGGCTCGCCCCCACGAGGCGTCGCCGCAGCTCCGGATCGACGCGACGCTCACCCTGTCCCTGGTTAAATCGCCCACGTAGAGACCCCCAGGCTCTCGCCGTCTGCTCGGCCCTCGACCCCACGGCCCAGGCTGCCGCCAGCGCGCCATGACTGGCCTGATGTCTTGCATGGACAACCTGTCCCTGGGCCCCATCGAACCTCCGCGGCCGCTCCAACGCAATTCGAGCTGGCCGCTCCGGCTGGCAACCTCGCTTCACGTCGGGCGTCCACCACAAACCTCGCCGCCATTCCGGCGCTCTGCCGCGCGGCGCGCAAGACGGATGCCCCCGTGGCGGCCCTCTCGGCCCGGGCACTCCACATCGCCTCCTGCGCCTCAGTCTTGACCCGCACGCCGCCCGTCGACGTGAGCCCATGGGCGGCCCTCTGATGGGCGGCCGCCTGCGCCCCAGCAACCCCCTGGATCGCAGACCCGGCCTCTTCCGCCACAATCGTCTCGAGATCCCGGGCGCACCTCTCACTCGCGACAGACCCCTCACTTGACTGGCCAGGTCCTTGAGCGCAGGCGACGCCCTCAGAGACTGTTCAGAGATGGCTGCCCGCTGTAGCATCTACATGTCATGAAGGACCCGCGCCAATTCAGCTCGGTCTGCCTCGGCCTGGAGACGCGCGGCACCACGCTGCTAAAGTTCCGCATGCGAGAATGCTTCCCGCATCTGCGCCAGCTCAAAGCCCCTTTCGGCAATGGCAGAGGAACAAGGGGCCGCAGCGACGGCAGCTCGAGGAGCACCCGTGGCAGACAGGCTTCAAACACCGCCCACGGCCCCCCGGGCAACAACTCCCAGGGGACTGAGCGCAGCTCGGCCCAAAGTTAAATCAGAGCCCTTGGATTCTGATGCTCGAAGCAATGGATCTGGCCGTGAGAGCGGATGATAGAGATGCGCCCGACGGGGCCTGGCTAACACGATCCCTCGCGGCGAGAACGAACCTCTCCCGCGAGCGCGATGTTCGCGGAACGAGCCGTCGCTTAGCGCCCCAAACGATGCTCTCCCGGCGGTCGCGCGCATGCGAGAGGGTTGAAGGACCCGGTGACTCGGGAACTGCGTTCCCCTCGCAAACCCCCGGCTTGCCCGCAGGGTACCCATCCGTCTTGGACCGCTTTCCTATCGGGGACGTCACTGACAAGTCCAGCGACGGCCGAGGCCGCCTGGATACTCGTCCTATCAAGCATACGGCTCCATCACTTGCGGCATCGCATCGTCGGAAGAGACGGCGCCATTTTCTTCAAAAGTCCGACGTCTCGTCTCGCCCGCTCGCCGTCTCAATGGGTGCTTCTGCGTGAGAGGCCTCGGCGACGTAGTTGCCCTCAGCCGTTGATCCGCCGATCGCTGCAGCCATGCTCCTCGCCCCTAACGTCGGCCTAGCATCACAAATGCTCGAACCGTTGCCGGAGGGCTGGCGCCGGACGCTCCTCCTCCATTCGTGAAAAAAGTGGCGTTGATTTGACCGACCTACCAGTCTCCGACGAAACGAAGAGACGGCACCATCGGATACAGAGGGGTCCGAGTTAACGACGTAGACCTGGTTGCCAGACGTCGGAAATGAAGACCGCGGAGGCAAACCCAATTCCCAGATCACTCCATATCATTATCACCCGCAGGATGGCCATCCCGCGAGGTAGCTGGGCGGCCCGCGCCGCGGCTCCAGGGTGAGCCCGGGCGGCCTGCGGAATCTGGCTTGCTGAAACTATCCGGAGGACCCGCGGCCGCGCCAGTGTCGCAGTCACTGAACGCCACCGCGAGGATCATCTTCGCAGGTGTAATTCACAATGTCCTTTTACGGTAGGTATGGGCCTGGTGTCGCTTCCATCAATGAAAATCTGATTCGGGTCCGCCATCATTCCATGTTGGTTCGGTCCCAACATCCCAGAGGTTTGCGACACCGTCGCGAGACATCGTGGTAAGTATTTCATGTGATAACCAGCATGTTCCCTGGTAGTCCCCATATCGGCAATAATGGCACTCGTAGGCAACGCTATATGATGATGTTGTCGTTCTTCTCGTAATGACATATCGCCCAAGATTGGTCTCAAGTTATGCATTGGTGATGTGGGGGTGTGTTGGCATGGCCAGTACGTCCGTTAAGCGGAGGGTATAGTTAGGTGTACATGTGTGGAGGGAGGCTGTCCGCGCGCGCGTACACCTTGCTGAACGCAAATGGACGCAAATTTCAAAGCAATACTATCGTCATGATAACAGGCGCCGCCAGCAGTCTGTTGAAGGGAATGGGCGGCGCAGCACTAGAAGGCGAGGGGAGCGATAGTAATGACTTCATCATCAGCAGCAGCAGCATCATCATCATCAGCAGCATTATCATCATAATCTTCGTCATCGCCATCGTCATCGTCATCGTCATTATCACCATCATTACGATAACCATCACCAACATGACCGTGATCACCATCATCGTCATCGTCATCATCAGCAGCATCAGCATCAGCATCAGCATCAGCATCAGCATCAGCATCAGCACCATCATCACCACCACCGTTTTCGTCATCATCCGCCTCATCACCACCTCCGTTGTCACCATCATCATCACCATCCTCATTATCACAGACAACCAAAGAAGCTGAACTGGCACGACGGCAGGACTTGCCGCAGGCAGCCAAATAATGATGAAACGAAGTGACATGGTCGAGAAAAAACGGCAATAGAAGAGTGAACTAGCTTGGGACGCACAGAGACATATCAATACATATGTCCGCCTTGGAGGCGCGCGTCCGACCCGAACATATAGTATACCCATCTTGTAATATATCGTTTCTCGAGCGGTGTGGCCAGAAAGCGCCCGCCACGACGCATATACCATAAGATTTCTCGGTGCGCGCGTCGTCCCTGGGGGGGCGACGAACACATAGTATAAGTATGTTGGGGGTACGCCGATAGCTACTGAAATGCGCCGGCAGCAGCAGTTGGCTGGTGGCGGTGCCACTCGGAAGTCCCTGCCGTGCCTCACAATTGCGAAGTACAAAAGCACCCACATCGTAGTATCCACGGCTGAAAATCCTATGGCACCTCCTCCTCCTCCTCCTGAAAAACGAGAAGGCAAACAGCCTAACAGACGTTCCCTCTGGGCTCACTAGCTGACCCTGCTCACCCAATCGGAATGCTGTAATCTCACCCCTCCTCCTCCTCCTGCTCCTCCTCCTCATGGGCCTCCTCTGGGTCCTCCTTCCTCCTCTACACACCTGTTACACCTTGCTATTGGAATTGGTAAGAGGGAGCCGGAGAGAGGCATTCGAAGATTATCGTGAATTCAAAGTGACATCGGTCAAGCCCCAACAGGACGCCTTGGGCCCCGCCAAACGGACCGTACCCAGGCCACACGAACAAAACCTGTGATAATCATCTGACGGTTGTTGTTTGCTTCGAGCTGGGGGGCGGGGAGAGCTGCCGCGCAAGAAGAGGGGAGGCGAGCGGGTTGGCCTTCTCTGAAGACACGGGGCAGGCTTCTGGGAAAGCGCTCGGGAGCCACTGCGTCAAGCAGCGGAACGATTCCCAACAGGCCCCATGCCCTCCAATAAGACCGCCATCCTCGCCCGCCCTCTTCTAAGACGCCGAGCGTGGTTGCTCCTGGCCCCGCCCTGGCCCTCACGGCGGCCCGGCGGCCACGGGGGCTGGGCGACCGAGTCCGGAGAGCTGCTTTGGGAGACGAGGCCGTCCTGGCGGCCCGCCGCCGCCGCGCGCGGGGCGCCGTCGCTGCAGGCGGGAGCAGGCGCCCGCGCAGCACGAGGACCAGCGCCTGCGGCTTGGGGCTCGGAGGCGGCCGATACCACACGTCCCGCAAGACGGCATATTTTCCTCACGGTTTTTTCGGCGTCGGGGGTCCCTCGCTGGGCCGCGGGGCCGTGAGGAAACGAATGGAGGCGAAGAACCAAACCTGGGTAAAGGGTCGGAACTTCCACGAACCGCGCCTTGCAAAAAACTGGACGTCGGATCTAAGGGGTCTGTGTTCTATACGCCACCACCACCCTCAGCCCTCAGCCGAGGCCATCCTGGCCCCCCGCGTCTCTCCAGGCCCGTCCGAGGGTCCGACCCGGACGCCCAGGGTGGCATTGGCCAAGCGACCTCTGCTGCAAACGGGGGGGGGCGCCTGGCTGCTCGGGTAACCTCGGGCCCCGCGCGGCGACGGGCGGAAGACGGCCACCTGGCACCGCGGCCGCGCCCGCGGGGCCGCCGCGGCCGCCCGATGCCTCGGGGCGCCAGCCGCCTGGACCCCGCGAGGCGGCGGCCTCGGGGCGCACGTTGCCCGACGGGCTGGTCGGCGGGCTGCCCCCGCCCGCCAGCCTGGCTCCTGGCACGAAGGCGGCGGGGGCGTCGGAGCTGCTGGCCGTGGCTGGCGACGGCGGCAGCGGGCCGACACCTGCGCCCAGCGTGGATGCGCTGGTACTGGCGGCGCCCGCGCCCGACCCCGAGGGCACGGCGCGCCCCGCTCCTCTGCCCAGCGGCGTGGCCGCGGGAGCGCTCGAGAGGTCGGGCGCCGACGGGGCCGCGCCGAGCCGCAGCGCGTCATGGAGCTGCGGCTGCTGCTGGGCGTGGTGCTTCAGGGCGGCGGTGTCTTCCGCGGCGGCCTTCTGCCCGCGGGGCCCGACCACGGCGGCCCAGCCCCAGCCGCCGCGCCGAGCGGCACAACAAGCACGGCTGCTGGAGGGGCGCCCGTTCCGCACCCCGAAGAGAGCGCACGCCGAGACGGCCATCAGCGCCACCGCGGCCGTGGAAACGATTGGGACAACGATTGGCAGCACGCCGTCGTCGTCGCCGTCATGTGCCGCCTCCGCGCCCACGGCAACGCCACCGCCGTAGACGCTCACGGGCTGCTCTATGGAGCTGCAGCAGACGATGCCGACCCCGTGCTCGACGCCGTCGGATGCGAACACGCCGCTGGAGGGCACCGTGCTGCTCGTGGCGGGCTCTGCTGCTTGCGCTAGCACGACGAGCTCGGTCGCGTTCGCCTCCACGAAACGCCACGCCCCATCGCCGCTGAGGACGGCATAGACGCTGCCGCCGTTGTCTCCGCACGACGGGCACCCTGCCCAGTGCGAGAAGGTGCCGACACCTGCCACGAGCGCGCAGCCGTAGACGCCATTGAGGCTGGCACGTGCGCCTCCGAAGCCGCTCACGCAAAGCCCGCCGCCGCAATCGGAGCAGGCCGATCCCACGGGCTCGCCGCCCAGGCCGCAGTCGAGGGCAGCCGCACCGAGCGCGGCGGTGGCGTTGATGCACGGGCAGACCCGCCGAATCAACTTCAGCTGGGCCCTCAGCGCTTCCGGCGTTTCTGGCATCAGCGGGCAGCGTGCCACGCCAGGCGCCCCCGCGTCCCAGTGGCACACCGTGGTCTCTGGATCTTTGGAGGGGTGCCAGGGCTGAGGCGAGCCAGCCTCCGCGAAAGCGCATGCCGAGGTGGCTTCCACCAGCCCGGCTGAGGTCCCAGGCCAGCAGGCCTCGGTGCAAGCGAGGTTGGTGCCGGCGGCGAAGCAGACCTGGTCGCAGCTCTGGTCCTCCCACGCAATGCTGATCCTCCACTCCACCTTGGGCAGCACGGCGGCCGGCACCAGCAGCACCGCCGCCAGCAGCCCAAGAGGGGCAAGGCACCACCTGCCCATGTGCCGCCCCCGCCGGCGCCCGGTGGCCCTGGGGAGGGGCAGGAGGGAAGAGGGCGGCTGGCGGGGCCCGCGCCGGGCTGGCCTTCCGCCAAGCAGCTGGCCTGAGCTGGACTCAGAGGCGGCCGGCCTCAGACAGCCTCAGGTCGACTGCAGAACGGGGCAGGACTGACCGAGTTGGCACAGATAGCCTCCAATATGGCCTCAAGCCAAGAAGCCCCCAAAGGCCGCGGGGTGGATCTGAGATGGCCCGAGACCAAGGACGCCACCACGAGGCCAGAATGGCTGAAAGCGCCAAAGTGATTAAATGAGTTTCGCCTCCTCACCGTTTCGGCTCCCGATGGACCTCGGAGGCCTCAAGATGGCCCCGATTGGGGCCCAGAGAGGCCTCACGAGGGCACAAAAGTCTCTCCCAATGAGACCTTCCAAAGGCCCTCCAGAGGCCCCCTAAGAAGGCTCCGAAATTGTCCCATAGGAACGATATCGGGGCAAGCTGAAGGCAGCACGAGCTCAGGCATATTCAGGCATGCCAGAGGCAGCGACGAATACAGCTATCGTGCTACTGGAAGGAACGCTGAAGAGAACGAAGGGTGCTTCTGGCCACCGCAAGCCAGGGCCACAAAGAGCCTCCCGACCTGGATCGAAGGGAAGGCCCGAAAACTAGCAGCCCCTCCTGAACCCAAAATTGTCCTTGTCTCAGCGTCTCGATTGCAGTCCGAAAGAGCAGGCTGGACGCTGGGCCGCCCTCCGCTACCCGTGTTCCTGCCGCGCCTGCCCGCGCCCATCAGGCCCCCCCATCCAGTCGACGACACGTGTGCGAGAACCCGCCGAGGGGCCTCGAGTCCTCTCAGGGAAGCGCCGCACGTCGGGCTGGCGCCCCAAGTCTTGCCCTCGACCCGTGAGGGTCGAGGAGGGCGGCGAAGACGTGCGAAGGCTTGTGGCCCCTGTCGGGCCTCCAGAGGCCTCCGACCTCTGGGACCTCTGGAGGTCAGGAAAAGGGGAGGCAGCCTGCGTTTGGCGTTTCCTCCTCCTCCTCCTCCTCCTCCTCCTCCTCCTCCTCTTCCTCCTCCTCCCCCTCCTCCTCCTCCTGTTCCTGTTCCTGTTCCTCCTCCTCATGTTCCTCTTCTCCCGCTCGCTCGTGCGTCCTGGACCCAGGCAAGCCCTAGGAAAAGGCAGTCATTCAGAAGAGGACGTCGACCGTTAGTATAACAACGTCAATACGACCAGACGCATCTGAAATTCGCCTCGACGGATTCGTCCCTCCCTCCTCCCCCGGACGATTCCAAAAGCCTCAGAGGCAATTCGACGACCATGCAACTCTACGGCCACGCCACGGTACAACATCGCCGCAACGTTGCTACCCAGGCGGTTCCACGATGAGTCTAGATACCAAGCTCGCTCGGGACAGCTAGATAGAACCATGCTGCATGAATATTAATGCTACGTTGGCACGATGGCGCGACTTACCGAAAGCAGCTCTTTAGGGAAGCTGGACCCCGAGTGCCGGGAATTAGCCGTTCTGGCCCAGGCGTTTCTGGGCTTGCGACAGCAGGATTCAGACCGGCAGTCGCTGTCGCGGGCCTTTTTGTTGGTTTCATTTGCAGCTTTGGGGTAGCTCAACCCCGCAGTTTCCCGCCTCACTCACTCACAGAGGCATCCATGGATGGAGATGTGGTCCGCGGACCCAAGCAGCCTTTCTGGGGCTTGCCAGCAGTGCGGGCTCACGTCGAGTTGGACATGCCGCCTGCGCTGCCGCTGCGGAATCAAGGCGCCACCCTCGGTGGTCAAGAAGGCCCTGGCGTTCGGGGATCAGCCTGCTGGCGGCGGTGGCGGTGGCAGTCGTGGCGGTGCGCGACTGCCAGCTGCGGGATCCAACCGAGAGGCTCGCATGGAGAAGCAGCTGGCCGAGCTCACCAAGAGGCTCGAGCAGCTCACCGCTTCGCCACCACGGGTTCGGGCAGCCCAGGAAGGCAGGCGGACAGGCTGCTGATGAGCCCGCCGAGGACCCGCTGCGAGCCGAGGCGAGCCAGCTCGAGGCGGCACTCATCGCATGCAAGGGAGAGAGTATGGCGCCCGCCAGGAAGTTTCTGGAGCAGCAGCTCAAGTAGGTGCGCCTGCGGATCGAGAGTAAGAAGCCTGACATCACGCAGCGCAATCATGCGGGGCACAGGCTCAATCGGGCAATAGTTAAGCTGGCGAAGCTGAAGGACGAGCTGGTGGAGCACGACAAGGTTGTGGAGCAGATGCAGAGGGATCGCGCAGACCTGGACGCCAAGAGGATTGCGGCGGAGGCTGAGTGTGACGAGTTGCAGAAGCAGCTGGTAGCATCTCTGCCGCTGGCAGGTGGTGATGACGGGCCTCTTTGGGACGACTTCGGCGTGCCAAAGGAGCTGCTGGACGGGAAGGCACCCATCCGGGCCACGTTCGAGACGGAGGCATTCAGAGAGTTTGCTCTTTTGTTCCGCACTCACGACGCGAAGGCCAAGGCGATGCCTCATCATGGCGGTGGTGTTCCTGATGCAGGAGCGGCGCATTTGGCGGCAAGTGGCGCAGGATACCAACGACATGTGCACATGCCCGTGCTCACGGACACTGACCTCGACGAGGCATTAGCCAACACGTCCGAAGCTGAGCAGTTCTGGGAGAAGCACCAAGGGAATAAGAGGGAGATCTTGGACGCACTCATCTCCGCCAAGGTCAAGCGCCCTAGAACGTCGCAGTTTTGATGAGACATCGCTCGAGTGCGCTGGCAATAGCGATCTGCAGTGCGGCAATCGATGCTATGAGATCCCCAAGCCAGCGCAGGAAGTCTTCGATGTGAGTCTGACGCGGCGATGGCCGCTGGATCACACTCATCGTGAGATGATGGCAGCCTGTTTCCTGTTGCAGCACTTCCGAGACACCAGCATCGGCGGGCTACGAGCCACACCGCCAGGTAGCACGATTGGTTTCTGTGACCCGCAAGGTGAGGAGTCGACGGCAGTGCATGCAGCGCCTGCCCCTCGCTGCACGGGTTTCAAAATTTCTGCCCATGGCGCAGGCCGCCGTAATCGCGACCGCGGTGAGGAGCTGGCCTGCCGGCTCCAACTGCCGCCGCTGCCACGCGCAGCGCCTCGCCCAGTTCGCTCGCACCCGACGGCCTCGCCAGCATCTCGAGGGGCGCGGGAGACACGGCCACCGCGGTCCGGGGCTGGCCCCCGCTCTGGCCCACAGGAGGGCGCGCCCCCTCGGGCGACCTTTCCCGGCCGAGTCCCTAGAAAGAGGCCCTCTTCTGCTGGAGCTTCGCACGCAGCTCCTCGCGCTCCAGCTCGGCGTGCGCCACGCGCCTGGCCGCCGTCTCTTCCTGTCGCGAGGCCGCGCAGGGCTCCGCATCAACCGGCACCAGCGCGAGCCACTGCGCAGCATGCCAGCCTCCGTCCTTGATGGCCATGGTCCTTGCCTTGAACTCCTGCACGACCACGTCGAGCGCCAGCACCGTCTGGCCCTCGAGCCCAAGGTCCAGCACTCGCGCGAGTGTCCTGAGTAGCCTGGTCTCCGCGGCCGCGACCGACTTCGGCGAGTGCTTCAGGAAAAACACGGCGTCGAGGAACGCCGCGGAGCAGGCGGGCAGGTCCCCCGTCGGCCCCCGGCCCGCGAACTGCCTCCGCAGCTGCTCCAGGCCGCTCCGCAGCAACAGCCCAGGCTCGCGCGCCGCCAGCTCGATAAAGTGGTCGTGGCAGACCCTGGCCTCCCCGCCGTCGACCTCGCACTCGTTCTCGGAGCCCACGCCAAGGTCGCCGTCGGACTCGGAGTCGCCTGCCCGGCTCCGGCGCCCCAGCAGTCGGTCGCACAGCTGCCGCTCGAACGAGCCGCGGGCGCTGCGGGCGCGAGCAGGCTTGCCCGCCCCAGCGCGGTCGACCGCGCGGGCGGCCAAGAGGGTCTGAGCATCCTGGCTCCCCCTGGACACGAGAGGCTCCTCGGCTCGCCCCTTGAGCCCCCGGCCTCCGCGGTCCTGCAGCAGCTTGGCCACCCGGCCGTCGTCTGCGGCGCCGCGCTCGAGACCGCTGAGGGGGCCTCGTCCAGCGGGCCCCGCCTGCCGCTCACCTCGGCGCGCGCGGCGCTCCTCGACCGCGCAGGGGCCCCCGCGCGGGGAATGCGCCCCCCGCGAGCCACAGGAGCCCGGGCGCGACGACCACCCGCGGGGCCGAGCAGCGGCAGAGGGGCGAGGGCACCGCGACCCTGCTTCGGCGACAAGAGGACGTCGTCGTCGCCGGACTTCACTTCGTCCTCCTCGCCGTCGTCGAGGAGATCGACAGCGAGCCACCGCCGCCAGCCTCCGGGCTGGCACGCGGGGGGCGCACCCGGGCTCGCCCTCGCCGCCATCTGGCCCCGCGTCGACGCCGCCCAGATCTGCCTCCGCCGTGTCCGCGGGCAGCTCCTCGCAGCCCCAGCGCCGTAGCAGTGCGCGGGCCTCGTCCACGTCGATCGGCCTGATGAGGTTCACGCGCTCGACCTCCCAACCGTCGGGCCCCTGGGTGCGGCACGCGCGTGCTGGCCCCGCGCACACGCGCAGCAGCGCGTGCTCCGAGCGCGCGCCGTCGGCGCCTCGCGCGCGGGCGTGCCACTCGAAGTACGCATCCGACGCGCCGAGGCTCACGAACTCGAACATGAGCCCGCCGTCCTCGAGTGTAGGGACTGCCTCCACGCGGACAACCTCCGACCCCTGCGAGGCCCCGTCCGCATCGAGGACGCCAACCTGGAGCAGATCGCCCTGCACCAGCTCCAGCCCTGCCAGCGCGTCTGGCGTCAGCTCCGAATTGACCCAAAGCCCCGGAGCTCGTGCCGCAGGGCCCGCCCTGGGGTGCTGCTCCATGACGTTCACATGCACCCTGGGGCGCTGGGCCACCGCCCAGCTAGCATCTCCTGCTGGCGCCCCAGGCCCCGAGGGGGTCGCCAGCACTCGTGGTCCGGGAGAAGCAAAGGCCCAGACCCACAGCGCCCCCGCCCGTGGCGTAGGGAGGGAGCGCCCTGATCCAAGAGAACTACGGAGTCCAAGGACGGCAGAGCCGCACATGTCAGGTGGACGTAGGGCATAATCTTCTCGGGGGACTACCATTTTTATATGTATACATAATTATACATGATGCATGTCATTACATCGGTTCTAGCAAGATTGGGATGTACACCGTAGCTGATATGTGATGCTATGCGCATTGCTATGATTCGTGCATGTTCTGAAAGGCCTCGTTTGGTAGCGGCCGCTTGTTGTTGTGATGTAGAGCGGCCGCTGGCGACGTTAAGCCACGCGTGGGCCTCCTGGAAGTAGGTCCTGAGTGGGACGTTGCCCGCAGGGCCCCAGGGAGGTCTGATACACAGGGGAGCGTCATCTGCACCACGCTGCACGCGCCCTACAACAAGCCCCAAAATAACCCATATGATGTCGAACATGACGATCTTAAGATGGCGACCGAAGGTGTCTGATTCCTTCGGCACGCATCCATGTTCAGGGCAGTGATCAAGTGGTAAGTCGGCGTAACTGGGCCTGTTGCCAACTGGGTAGAGCCGCGCTGTACACTCCTATGATCGAAGTAGGCACTTGCTTAGTAGTACGAAAGATGTACTGGCACCGGTAGATCCAATGCTGGATATCAGCCTATTGCTGAGCCTTGGCCCGCTGCCGCGTTGTATGTGCCAGCTGCCCGGCTCAGTTTCCCGAAGGGGCGTCGGCGCATGGTAATCCCCAAGTTGGATACCCATATTGTGTTGTGGAGAACTGCGAGCAACAGAGCTAGCCACACAAGCGTAACCACCTCCGCTCCCAGGTAGAAAAGATGTTATCGGATGACGGTAAGCCCTAAAGCTGATGTAGAAGCAGAAAGGATATTCTCCTCTACGCAATAGTAACCAGGGTCATGTCAAGATACTTGGTAATCATACCCTGGTGTCGGCGCCATTGAACCAAAATGGCCGCGGATGCGCTCGTTCCTGCTTTGCCGCCGCTCGCTGGCACGGCAAAAGATCCCCTGAAAAAGGGGAACCCGAACTGGCATTTCGACTCACTCCCCCCAAAAAATGGCAGGCCCACAAGAGGCCTTAAGAGGCCCCAAAGAGGCCTTCAGAGACCCGAGGCCCCAAAGAGGCCTCCAGAGACCCGGTGTCGACGACGCAGGCACGTTGGCGGGGCGAGCCAAAGGCCTGAGATGAAAGGAACAATCGCCACATGATATGGCATTATGTTGCTTTGCTTTGCTTTGCTGCGCGATGTAGTGCAGCGCATACATGCTGTCGCTGTTTTGGTCCTGAAGTGGTTTGCTTTCAAAGGTCGTTGTGCTGCGTTGGTTTGCATGGCTATGTTTTGTATACCGTCCACCAGAATAAAGCGGAGACGCGACTCAAGACGATGCGACCCCCTCTTTGACGCCTCCGAGAGACAGGGTCACGGCGGCGGTCCTGGGATCTGGAGGGGTGAAAGGGGAGGCAGTCGAAAGCCTGCTCGCAAGGACGCCCTCGTCCCCTCCAGGCCACCACTGGGGGGCGAAGGTAGGGAGGCGGGGAGAAAGGGGGAGAGAGAGAGAGAGGGGAGAAGGAGCAGGAGGGGGAGCCAGGGTGGAGAAGGACGGTGGTGGAGGGGCGGGGAGGGAGAGGAGGGGAGGGACGTGGGAGGACAGGAGGGGAGCGCGCACGGGTGGGGGGATCGGTGGTGTCGGTATGGGGAACGGGGTCGGGAACGGTGGGGAGGGATAGCGGGGACGAAGGAGGAGACGGGGGACGGAGGCGGGGACGGGGGATGGTGAGGGCGAGGAGGGGGAGGGTCCTCACCTTCTCCCTCCTGCTCATCATCCTCCTTTCCCCCTCCCCTTCCTCCTCACACTTCTCCTCACACACACACACACAGCAGGTGTCAAGCCACCACGGCCACGCCTACACCCCGCACGAACTATCTAACCTCGAACGTCCTCCGCTCTCGTAAGCCACAGGGGGTCGCCGACCCCATCTCTCGTGTGGACTTCGCGACGCCCTCATTTTGTGAGGCCCACGGCCCGATACTAGCCCGTGGAGATCGTTCGACTTTGGAAGCTCGCGCTGGCGTCACCTCCGCGGGGCACGGCCCTGTGGCGGGATGGGTCGAAGGCCATGGTGGCCCAGGCCACGATGGGCCGAACACACGACCCAAGCACCGTGGCCCATCCCCAGCGCAGCCGCCGCGTCGAGACAGCACGAACCAGCCGTCAACGCCTGACAGAGCCAAGCCCTCGCATCCCTGGGGCCTTCCCCTGTGAGCCCGTTCGGCGCCTCAACCGCCGAGCAGGGCTCAAGACGAAAAGGTGGTGGTGACCGTTAGTCATCATCGATGTCCTCATCGTTATCGTTGTCGCCGTTGCCATCGCCCTCAATACCACCATCACCATCACCACCACCATCATCATCACCAGCACCATCGCCACCACCTTCCCAAGGACAATTCTGGAACGCTCCCATTGGAAACAGACGACTGCCGCAACTGCCGCGCGGTGCGCGTCGCGGTAAAGCGGCACCTTGCCCATCCGAGCAGCGCACACCTCCCCTTCTTGCTCGCTCGCACCGTCCCCCGGTGGCCCTTCCCACGAGCACTGAGCACATGAAGCCCGCCCGCACGACCTCACCGCGGCCGCGCCCGCCTTCAACAGCCGCTCCAGAGTCCGCTCGGGTCCGCGGGCCCCTCCTGGACGCTGTCCCGGCCATGTCTCTCGAGCAACGCCAAGCCGTGGCAACGACACCCCAGAACCGCTCTTGCAGGGGGCTCCAAGAGTTCCAGTCCGCTCGACCCGAACCGACCGTGCGAATGAGAGTCCGCCCGACCTGACACGACCGCGCAAGTTAGACGTAAGAAGCAAGCGTGATCTGAAACAACCGCCAAAAAGGTCCGCCCGACCCGACCCGTTCCGACCACCCGAATTTGTGTCCACCCGACCCCATCCAGTTCGGTCTGGACCGTCCCGACATCTCAATTTAGACTCGGCCCAACCCGACGCGACCGCCCGACCTAGGGTCCGCTGGGACCGAACCCACTCGCACACCCAACCCCTTCATTTCTGTCTTCCATGCAACTGAGCGTCTGGGCGAGCTACCTTCTACGCAAGCGGTCCTGGGGCGAGGGGTTCCGAACGAACCCCTTCTTGCATCTAGTAACCATTCAAAACATACAGACGAACTTGCACAATGCTAAAGCGAAAGCCACAGCTTGAACACAAGCCGCCTTCCATCCGCATGACCGTTGGGAGTTCAAGCTGCATAACCACAAACTGTCAGCAGAGAGTCTATGGCGAAACGTTCAGACCGCCCTACGGCCCTGGCAAAACATCAGGTGGTGCGACGAGGAGGGATTCGGAACGAGGAGGGATTGAGGGGAAAGGGAGAAACTGAAAAATGGAAGGGTGAAGAAGGCCTGACGGCAAGACTTGGTACCAGAGATGCCGTTGATCGTACGCATGACAGCGACATGACAGCGACTGCTGCCGATGCAGGAGTAGCTACAAAACACTTCGGAGTGCGAGAGACCAACATCTGAGACATATATGACTTGCTCAGAATAAGACAGCGGCATATGAAACAATGCCTGCATATCCACACACGGCGCAATAGCGAAAACCGCTATGAAGAATAGGAGCAGGCAGCAACATCGACAGCGAAAATCGGATGGACATGGTGGCCCATAATAACTGCCACCATTACCAACAAGTATCCGCATGGCATTGGAATACATCACGAAGAAGATTATGACCGAAAAGGTTGGTATCCCCCGTCCTCCAGCAGGCACCCATGCACACGCACGCATTCAAATACACGTGCTCACGCCTGCGCCCGTGTGCCCAACCGAAGCGAGAAGGACTGCGCGCGTGCACCCTCCCCGCCGCAGCGTGTATTGCTTTGGACGCAAGACCTCTGCACACCATCTGGAGAGTGTCATGTGATCGAACATGCATATGCTCTGCTCCCCCCCTACTCGGATACCAGAACGGCGGTCAGGGCGGCGATCGCGTGCCGCAGGGCGTATCGGCTGAGTCGCGCGCGGTGAAAGCCCACGAAAGGCGCGATGGGAAAGCCGCCAGCCAGCTTCACAAATGCTATCGCGACGCTGCCAATCGACGATTCGTAAAACCCACATGAATCGCTACAGAAACGACGCACTGCGAAAGAACACTCCCAAAGCACATAGTCGCTTCATGCACTACTGTGTCCTCGTTTTCTGTCGTCCAACACGGAGAACGAAATGGAACTTGGCGGTGGTCAGTGATGAAGTGTTAGCGGCACGCATCTGGTGGAATGTTTGCAAGTGTGGATGCCAAACAATGGGTAATTGCCATATGTATGTGCAGAGAGTGGCATCTTTGCCACCGTGCCCCTTTGCACGTTGAGGCGTGGTAGGATGCCACCAGGGGAACACAAGCCATGGTACCAGGAGCGAGGAGGGGCGGAGGGAGGGAAGGAGGGGGAAGCGGAGGGAGGAGAAACATGTTGCAGCGTTTCGGCGAGCACGGCGTGCTGACAAAAATGGGGGAGACTGCGACAATCCATCAACAAGGGAGGACAATAGATGTTCTTGTGCTCTTCGGGTCCTGATGGAGATCCACTTCGGGCCCCCTTGGGCCTGCTAGAGAGCCTTTCGGGCAATCATGCCGCCAGCTTGGGCAGTCTTCGAGCTATATCAAGCCTTTGGGGGGGCATTTTGGTTCATCTTGGTGACTTTGAAGACTTGACCGAACCGTTTGGGATGTCAGCAAAAGCACAATGGATACTCTGGAGAGCGCCCAGGAAGCGTCAGGGCGCCCAGGGAACCTCCGGAGAAGGGGGGGACGCATGTGATACAGCACCTACCTTTTGTTCAAGCTTCTGTGAGCCCGAGACTGCCCAACAGGCCTCTGAGGCCCAAGAGGCCACCAAGGCGGTTTCAACGCAGCCCAAGATCTCGCGATGTGGAGCAGCTCGAGAGCTGTTAGGAAAATCATTGGATCGGGCATTATCGAACGCATTCGTATGGACTCTGCAGGGCGCTGTGATCGGCCTGTTACTCAAGCTGTGCTCAAAAACTATGTCGCGTCACAACTACTATGCTGCGTCGAAGTGTTTCTCGATTTGATTTCGGGATTCAGAGCAGCTACAAAGGTATTAGGCATACCATGGAATCAAGATTGCCTCAGGGCTGCAGGCACCTAGCCGACGCGGCACCTCGAGGGCGCCGAGATCGGCCTACTCCATCGAGCACTGGGCGAGTGACGAAGTACTTCAGCGGGCACTGAGTTCCGTGGAGGACGACCGTGCTTGACTCCGAATGCTTGGGTGCCTCCCCTGCTCCTGAGTGGGGACGTCCGCCGAAGCCAATGCGATGCGGTAGTAAAGTTCTTCGACTGCGCCATCAATATCATCAGCGCCGCAGAGATCACGACGTATGATAATATAGGGCCGCTCGGGGAGAGCACTCCCGCATGGCGCACCCGTGCGGCAGAAGAACACTTGCTGGCTGTGCGGTGGTGAACCCGAAAGCGGAGTGATTCACAGCATCTCTTTGTTGGAACCACTCGAGGCGTGCGTTTCTCGTCAAAGCCCTGTCGCTTTCCGGGACTTGCTCCAGCGCAAAGTGCAGCGCGCACTCTGTAATGACGGTGCTTGTCCGTATTTTGCCGACGTCAGCGACGCCGAACGGGACTTGGTTGAGGCGTGCACACGTGGACGTGTGACAACGCGCACGTCTTTGGAACGGTCGCCGCCAGTGCTGCTCCTCTATATATCAAAAGTCGTGTTCCTGCCGAGTGAGCAGTTGTTTGGGCTCATTGAGCCCTTCTGGCTAACCCCGTGGCATCAGCAGCAGAAGCAGTAGAAGCCGCAGAAGCAGTAGAAGCAGTAGAAGCAGTAGAAGCAGTAGAAGCAGTAGAAGCATTAGCAGTAGAAGCAGTAGA